TTTCATCGGCTTGTGCCTTATTTTTGGTAGATTTTTTTTTGAGGCCCTTGCCGTTCCATTTGGTCCCTCGGGCCGGATCGAGATCTTGCTAGATTTCAATTAGAGTGCGAACGGTCCTGTGGCAATACAGTCCCCTTGCTTTGTACTGTTTTCATAATATAATTCTCACTTTCTTTTTACAATAAGCCATGGCTACGGGTTCAGAGACTAATACGTTTCATCGTAGCACCTTGCTAGCAAAAATTCAAAATTTAATCCAACTTGTCCATGAAAGCAAAGATGATTTCAAGAAAATTCTCACAGAAGAGAACGTCAAATCACTATACCCTCGGTACGAAATGCTTGATAAGTATCGTAGCAGATTTGAGGAGTTCATCGATCAAGCCATTGAGTTTAACTCTGAAAATCCTGATAACGAAATCGATTTCCTGCCCCTACAATCTGAATTTAACAAGATTCTCTGTGACTCTCAGATGATGTACCTAAGAGTTTCAGCTAAAAGAGTCGCCAATGAAAATGCATCCGGTAATAGCTCAACTCTTATCAACACCACTGCCCAGATGCTTGGGCCCAAGATACGATTACCCAAGCTGGAGCTAACACATTTCTCTGGACAAATTGAGAACTGGCGCACCTTTTACAACCTGTTCAAAGCCTCTGTTCATGATTCCACTCATTTACTAGAGGTCGAAAAATTCCAATATCTAATCGGCAGTCTCCGTGGGGATGCTCTCGCCCTGATTAAAGGCCTAGACATCACAGCGGCCAACTACGCTGTTGCATGGAACCTACTGTGCAAAAGATATCAGAGCGAACGCCGGCACGTGTTTCATCATTTCACCGGCCTACTAGATTTACCCGAGATCAAGAACAGCAACCAGGTGCATACTCTTCTCACCAAGCTTCGGGAGCACACTCAAGCTCTCACAGCCTTAGGCCACGAGTCCGAGTCTTATGACGGCATGCTCACTGCGGTGCTCATCCGCAAGTTGTCACCTGGACTGTGGCGCCGCTTCGAAGATTTCCGCGAGGCGGCCGATAATGCATACCCCAAATTAGCAGAAATCATAGCTTTCCTCGAAAAAGAGCTCATGTTTTCTGACGACATTTTTACCTCCCGCAAAGAGGGTGCGGCACCGGAAAAAGTCTCAAAAACCTTGGTAGCTACGTCAAGTAATGAAAATTCAGGCAAGAAAAAGAAAACTAAACAAGCAGACAGTGTCTTGGCCACCGCTACAGAAGCCAAAACTGAAAACCACACGCCCAATTGCCTCATTTGCCCTGAAAAACATTGGCTTAATCGCTGCCCTCTGTTTCTCCGAGACCCACCCGACAAGAGGCTAGAAACCATCCGGAATCACCATCTATGTCAGCTATGCTTCAGCCCGAAACACGAGCTGGATGAGTGCCCTCGCACTTTTGATTGTCACCTTTGTCATCAAAAACATAGCGTCTACCTTCACGGGGCGGCGGGGCTAGCACCCAAAGATCCTAAACCGCAGACCGATGAAAAACCGCATGTGGCTATGGTCAGCTCATCGTCCCAAGAAGATACACTCGCATTGCTCGCCACGGTGCAAGTCGAGGTCTGCTCAGCCAAAGGTTCGATAAGCGTAAGAGGGATCCTAGACTTGGCTTGCCAGTCCACTTTACTAGCCACCTCTTGTGCTAAGTCTTTGCAATTGCCGGTGGACTCTAACTTATTCTCCATAGTCGGGGTTTCGGGCAACCCAGTCAAGACTCGTGGCTCCGCGCGCATAACACTTAAAACTAAAGGGAAGGTCTTGGCGAAAAATCATGTCGTTACCATAGTAGACAAGATCATCAACGCCACGCCTTCACGAGCCCTGTCACCAGAAATCAGAGCGCGGCTAGCAGGTCTCCCGCTAGCTGATGAGTTTTTTGACAAGCCGGCCGCCGCTGAGATCCTCATCGGTGTGGATCTTCTACCTAGACTGCTTTGCGGTGAGACAATATTTCTCGGCGAGGGTTTCCCTACGGCTCTCAAAACAAAGATGGGCTATGCTCTTTTTGGGCCGGCGCCTATACTCAAAGAGACAAACGTACTGATGGTAAGCGCTTTGAACGAAGCCGAAGCAGCCAACACAGAATCATTACAAGAATCGTTACAAAAATTCTGGGAAGTGGAAGAACCACGACCCTCAGCGCCGATCTGTCCTCCAGATCATCCTGCAGAGATTCTTTTCAGGGAAACGACGATTAGATTGTCTTCTGGCAGGTACCAGGTTAGACTCCCGTTCGCGGAGCCTCCGGAAACCCTTGGGGCTTCGTTTCCTCAGGCGCTCACGCGCTTCAGAAATCTAGAACGACAATTTCGGTCTAAACCAGACTTTAAAGAGAATTATGCAAAAATGATACAAGGTCACATGGACGCAGGGCAACTAACTCCCGCCCCCCCGGGCGTATTAGATGGCACCCACTACGTGATGCCTCACTCAGCAGTAATTAAAGAAACCTCGTCCACGACAAAATTTCGTATCGTAAATGACGCAAGTGCTAAGACTTCAAGCGGTGTCTCGTTAAACGACATACTACACGTCGGCCCAAACATACTCAAGGATATCCGAGAGGTAATCTTAAATTTCCGGCGTCACAGCATAGTATTCTCGTGCGATATCAGGCAGATGTACCTACAAGTCGCCCTTCATCCTGACGACCAACGTTATCACCTAATAATCTGGAGGTTCCACGAAACTGAGCCGCTTAGATTATACCAGTACACAAATGTCACCTTCGGGGTAGCCAGCTCTGCTTTTCTGGCGGTCCGCACGCTTCGCGAGCTGGCCAGCCAACACAAAGAGCAATTTCCCAACGCCTACAAGGTAATCATGGACGAAATTTACGCCGATGACGCGGCCACAGGATCGGACACTTTGGAAAATACCGTTCAGTTACGTCAAGAGCTAATTGACCTGTTAGCTTTGGGAAAGTTTCAGCTCAGAAAATGGTTCAGCAACGACCCCCGACTGTTAGACGGCATACCATCAGAGCATCTGGAGGTTCCATCGGGATGGAATTCAGGAGACTCGCCCGCCTTTTCCATTTTAGGAATACGTTGGCTACCCAGACAAGACGTGTTTCTTTACAAAGTCAACACCATTGAACGCCCATTCACGAAAAGGGGAGCTCTGTCGCTCATAGCCACAATTTTTGACCCCTTAGGCTGGCTAGCTCCAGCCGTTCTACCGGGAAAAAACCTAATCCAGCATCTTTGGCTCCAGAAAATCGGATGGGATGAACCATTACCCACACACCTACACACTATGTGGGGAAAATTTCTAGCCGAACTTCCAGCCTTAGAAGAGATCCGAATCCCCCGTCATTTTTGCCCTCAGGGGCGTTCAATCCAAGTCATGGGTTTCAGTGACGCGTCACTGCTTGGATACAGCGCAGTAGTCTACGCCCGATTCACCGATGCCAACGGACAGCTGGATACCGCTCTAATTGCAGCCAAAACGAAGGTCGCACCTCTCAAAATGCTGTCCATACCCAGGTTAGAGCTGTGCTCGGCATATCTGCTCACCACCCTCTTAGAATTCATCCAACCGATATTAAGCAAGAACTACCAAATCGAGAAAGTAACTCTGTGGTCAGACTCGAGTGTTACATTACAGTGGATTCAGACCCCCCCTCACAAGCTAAAAACATTTGTCGCCAATCGCGTGGCCCACGTTCAAGAAAGGTTCCCGAACGCTGAGTGGCGTTACGTGAAATCATCATTAAACCCAGCGGACATCGCGTCGCGTGGCGTCAGCGCCCCGCAGCTAGTAGCCAACGAGCTGTGGTGGAAAGGGCCACCTTTCCTCAAATGATCAGAGGAGCATTGGCCTGAGTCACGTTTCACCGCTCCCGGACAACTACCCGAGCAACGAGCACTAGCAGCGCGCAGCAGCCAATCCGAGCGGTCCTTCTTGTCCAAGCACTCTGATTGGGCGAAACTCAAAAGGATCACCGCATACGTATTGCGATTCATCCACAATGTCCGGAACTTGAAGAAACGACTCAAGGGCCCTCTCGCTCTACCCGAGCTAGCAATGGCCGAACGAGCCCTAGTTGGCATCATGCAAAGAGAACATTTCTCTGCAGAAATCGAGCTACTCAAAAAAGGAAAGGTTGGCAGGCATAGTCTCCAAATTCTCAACCCCTTTTTGGATGAACATGGTCTCATCCGCGTCGGTGGCCGGCTAACAAATGCCCCCATCGCCTTTGACCGCAAGCATCCGTGGGTTCTTCCGAAAAATCACCACTTCATCCCTGTACTTGTCAGGCATTATCATTTTATCAACTTACACGCCGGCCCGCAACTGCTACAGTCGCTATTAAGCCAGCGTTTCTGGATTATCTCGGCACGCCAAGCGATTCGAAACGTAACACGGCACTGTATACCATGTTTCAAAACCGCCCCAAAGAATAAAATCCCTCTGATGGGTGACTTACCCTCATCGCGTATTAGTGAAAGCCCACCCTTCTACAACACGGCCTGCGATTTTGCCGGCCCGTTTTCAGTGAAAGTACACACCTTAAGATTTGCCCGCACCGTGAAATCTTATCTATGTATATTTGTCTGCATGGTCACAAAGGCCACACACATAGAGGTCACTACCGACATGACCTCTGACTCCTTTTTAGCCGCGCTCGTCAATTTTGCTTGTCGGCGCGGCAACCCGGCCCATCTATATTCGGATCAAGGAACAAACATGATGGGCGGAGACCACGAATTAAAACGCATCGTCAAAAAACTACTCAGTGACCTCAAGGATAGTCCTGAACTAGCAAAAGTCATTCAAGAAAGACAAATACAATTTCACCCTTCGCCTCCCGCCGCGCCACATTTTAACGGCTTAGCGGAGGCCGCCGTAAAAAGCGCCAAAAAACATTTAAAAACAGTCATACAGGATCATCTGTTAACCCTTGAAGAATTCATATCCGTGGTAAACAGAGTGGAGGCAGTCCTGAATTCAAGACCCCTGGTACCAATCTCCAGTGACCCCAATGAATTGACAGCCCTCACTCCAGCTCATTTTTTAATAGGGCGTGCTGTAGTAACCCCCGCGGAACCTGACTACAGTCAATTGCCGCCCAACCGATTTCCCGCCAAGCGGTGGAAACGGGTGCAAGCTATATCGCAATCGTTTTGGAAAAAATGGGAAATAGAATATCTGAACACTCTGCAAAACCGCCGTAAATGGCAAGTCAAAGCACCCTGCCTCAAAATTGATGACTTAGTACTGATTCATGAGCACTCTACCATCCCAATGCACTGGAGATTGGGTAGAGTAATTCAAATTTTCCCGGGTCGGGACGGACAGGTTCGCGCCGCGCTCGTCCGAACAGCCAATGGGGAGCTTTCCCGCCCGGCGGTAAAACTATACCCGCTGCCTATAAATACGGAGTGAAAATGAGGCCAACTATCAGTCAACGAAGAGAGACACCTTCAGCATGGAAGTATTGGATCTGCAGGACCCCGCCCTGGAGAGGGAGCTCTCACTCGACGAGGAAATAGAGCGGCTCGCAGCTCTCGTAGAAGATGTTCCGGCTCGGATCCAGACACGGCCTCTACCAGTCCGCCGACAAGTCCAGGTTATCAACCCGCTACCGAACCGGCCTTCGCCCTCGCAGGTGGATCGACTCCCGGAGGAGCCTGAGGGGAGCCACATCGGGCAGGTGAAGAGGTGGCAGGCCAAACCACGGCGGCCTCGGCCGCGCCAGCGTGTGAGACGGGTGGTTCGTGAGGATAGGCCTCCGCTCATTCCCGTGGGGGAATACCCTTACGAGCCATTCGTCCCACTGCAAATACGGATGGACCTGCCGCCTCAGCTTCCGCCACTCCCGCTGTCGCTGCCTCCAGGCTTCCGACGGGAGCCAAGAAACAGGCGTGAAGCACGGTATTTCCTCCATTTGGATCTGCAACTAGCAAGAAGGCGATTATCAGACCGACGCCGCACAACTCTTGTCACTAGCCGTCAGCGCCGGCAAGCCAGCCGTGCCCATCTGTACCGCCAGAACTCCCTCTCCACGGCGGAGTCCAATCCATAAAGCCTGCGCCAAACCCTGTATAAGTCGACATGTATAAGTTTTTAATCCAGTAGTCAAACCAGTGATATTTTTTTCGTTTTATTATCTTGTTCTTTACTTTTATATCGTACCAGTTGTTTTTTTTTTTTAAGTTTCCTGAAGGCTGAAGGATGTCTCTCTTAGTTTTTTTTTGAAAACGGCCCTTTTTAGGGCCACCAAAACCGAGCTAAACCTTTTTCAGCATAGCATTAGCCTGTCAAGCTAACTCAGCAAAACCTCCTAAGATGTATTTCTCACATCTCAGTTGCAAGTCTCGGATCCATCCGGACTTATGTGTTCTTTCTTAACCAAAAATAACTAGTCTCCCATGAAGCTCCTTTTTGAACAAGAATTCTCCACTTAAATTTCATATATCCTAAGATATGCTTGCATCCATCTTAGTTGCGAGTCTCGGATCCATCCGGACTTATGTGTTCTTTCTTAACCAAAAATAACTAGTCTCTC